AATTAGTTAGCAGAAATCAGTTAAATGACGAAAACTTAGGTGTCTATTTACTTGTGACCACGCTGTGTAGATGTATTCACCAACATTTGTCATTAACTTAACACAGTTTTTGAAATTTGACTTTTTAATAGCGTTACAACTCTGAGAGAGTAGACATATTATGATTAAACAGAATAAAAACATTTTATCATATTTTATTACATTTTCAATGGTGTATTTGCTCTTGAAACCATGAAACATGACGTAAAATTGGACGTTTTAATTTGGGTTTCCCGAGGGATGGAGGGAACACTATTGTAGAGGGGAATAAAAACGGTACTTTCTGCTGATCTTTCTGAATTGTATCAATATTCCGTTATCAGGAAAAGTGTGGAATTGTGCTACTAAAAATAATTGTCTCAATAACCTTTTCTTTATTTGTCCTCACAATCCATGCACTTTTTATCAGATTAGTCGAGTTCTGTGATATTATCCTCGTGAAAGGGCATTATATAACACTTATGTAACACTGAAAATGAAACGACGTTGGTAACGAGGCTTACATAGATTGAAAGTATTGATACTTTATCCCGTGTTGGGGGGGGGGGGTAACCGGTTACCAGCAAAACCTCAAATCTAGTTATTTCTCGTCACCGATAAACTTGTGATTTATACTCTTACATTAAAAACCTGGTTTGCCCTGTCATATCAACACAACTCGTGTATTATCGTACAGTATTAGTGAAACGTATTCGGAACGTGTATAATCTAACGGGGACATTGGACTGGCGCAATGATCTTGATGTTGTTTCATCACGATATTTTTTAGCCGGCGGAGATAGCTAACTAAGCCTAGTCATATATGTGGAAGGGGCGTCTTCACTTTTACGTTTATCTGTTTCATTAGTAAATATTTGTTTTACACAATATCTGGTCTTTTTAAGTACCATGCTTACTTCACTGTGTGGTATAGTACATGACTCGAAGAAATTCTACTAAGTGATTGAATCAAACCGAATAACATACTTGAAATTTGAATTATGCTGGCAAAAATATAGTTCCATATAGCTATTGTATTTTAGAGTTATATGCAGATAGTTGTATTTGTTTTCGTCCCTTACAGGAAGAAAAATCTGTTCTTAATCCTTTATTACAATGCTTAATTAAATCATTTAGTTCATCTATTTATTTGAATGACTAGATAATTATTTTAAAATTGTCAACCAAGAAACGTGTGTAATGTCAGTGGTCCGCAGTTGATAGAGTGGGTTGGTTGAGATTCACATAAGTGGAGTAAACATGCTGGTCGATTCGAAACTGTGGTTGCTATTACCAACTTCAGTTAATACTCCCACACATCTCCAATACTCTTCTGTTCCAACTGACATGAGTATGATTGGATGCTGTGTTTTATCTCCCCACCTCATACACGAGCAGTTGAATGCATTTTATGATACGAAATATCATCCGACAGGGGTACGATTCTGGGATATTGATTACTCCATAAGCTCGGGGTGTGGGGATGGCTTCTCTGTTGAAATACACAGTTAAGGGAATTTCGTGGGGCTATTTGAAATAATGTATGATTTTACTTGATTCGAAGCTGTGAATTTCGATGACTTTTAACTTAAAGGAACTAAGTTTTTATAAAGACCACACGTATACAACTTAAGCTTATTTATGGTGTATTGATTAGTTTTTGTAGAGACAATTTTAGGACTGTTTGAAAATAGAAATAACAGTATACTTCAGCTGGGAATGTCTTGTCCCTCCCCCTGTCTCTCTCGCACACACTCACAGAGCTTCGTCAAATTGATTTTGTGAAAGAAATAACAACAACAAAAGAGTTTATACTGGAAATTTTTTTTTCACAAAACAATGTAGTGGTTAGTACTTTATAAGACACAACCTTTTTAAATAGATGGCGTTTTGATAGATTCCAGCAAAGTTGATGTTCGGCACATTTTAGTGATGTGACGGGATTGGCTAACTCTGTTATTACGTAGCAGGAAATACATAAGTTCACCAAGTTCCAGTCTTGAATCAGAAAAAAGGGCTTCCTGTATAAAGGACTTCCTGTATAAGACAGAGAGAACTACCTTGAATATAAACTCAAGCAATAAATGCACCGACTGAACGACACCGACCTTGGATTATTTGATCGACGTGCGAGGTCTACATTACCTTGAAGGAGATTGTTATTGCCCCAAAACCTTTAGTATTTTAGTGTATTCGGGCCCTTTAGCGATTCTTAATAGGAATATGAGCAGCACATCTGTATTGTACGTATTTTAAGAAATCGTTAGAATGTTTTTGAAAGTTATAATCGACCAATTATGAAATGAATAAGATGTTATTCGGAGCGATCGGTAAAAACGTGAAGGCCAATTGCGATAGATAATACTTACATACTGTTTTTATCTTGTTACACAATGGGCTATCTGAGTTCTGTCCACTGTGGGTATCAAAAACCGATTTTTAGTGTTATAAATCCTGACTTACCGCTGAGCCACTGGAGTGGCATATATATGTATGTATGTATGTATGTATGTATGTGTGTGTGTGTGTGTGTGTGTGTGTGTAACTATTCAGACTATTCGATTTGAAAATTGTTCAAAATCTAAAACGAACATTGTAATGACTAAATGCAGTCAATTTCCTGTGTTAAATGACTTTCGTGCTTATACGTATATAAAATGTACACGTCAGACATTGTTAAGTACCGTAATTCAACAATATGTTCTTAATGTTCGGTAAAAAGTACCAGATCAGATATGTTGAGGAACCTAATAAAAGAAATGCTTAAAAAGAACTGATTTGTAAATTGCTTGAAATAACAAGTATAATATATCGAATATGTTCAACAGTTTTTCAAATATTCACCGACTCTACATTAAAATTACCCTTAACGTTTATACCGATTGCTTATAAATCCCGATGAAGCAGAACAGTGAACGAAGCAAGTATATCCCAGTGAGGCCCAGCATGGCCAGGTGGTTAGGGCGCTCGACTCGCAATCTGCGGGTCGCTGGTTCGAATCCCCGTCCCACCAAACGTGCTCGCCCTTTCAGCCGTGGGGGCGTTATAAAGTGACGGTCAATCCCTCTATTTGTTGGTCAAAAAGTAGCCCAAGAGTTGGAGGTGGGTGGTGATGACTAGCTGCCTTCCCTCTAGTGTTAAACTGCAAAATTAGGGACGGCTAGCGAAGATAGCCCTCGTGTAGCTTTGCGCGAAATCCATAACAAACAAACATATCCCGGTGTAAATGGTGAAGGTTTGGACATAAATGGACATGGCCATGATAGGGGAATTGAATTCATATAATAAACACTCATGAAAGCAATACCCTCTTTTATATCGTGTTTAACGTTTGACAATGTACAGAAAGGCCGATAAATCAAAATGCTGAAAAATTAAAACAACACTTATGCTGAGGGAGAAATTACACCCATGATGCGGAAGGAAGAGGTCTAGATTGCACCTGACCCTCCCAGGTCCAAACAAGGACCTAAATCCCGATGAAGCAGAACATAGATCCTGACCAGTGTACCTCAAGGAGGGGAAACAGAACATAGATCATGACCAGTGTACCTCAAGGAGGGGAAACAGAACATAGATCATGACCATTGTACCTCAAGGAGGGGAAACAGAACATAGATCCTGACCAGTGTACTTCAAGGAGGGGGAACAGAACATAGATTCTGACCAGTGTACCTCAAGCAGGGAAAACAGAACATAGATCCTGACCAGTGTACCTCAAGGAGGGAAGCAGAACATAGATCCTGACCAGTGTATCTCAAGGAGGGGTAGTTAGCCTGGTAATCTTCATCATGTATGTAAGCGACATGCCATTAGACGACCCTAATTTTTGCTTCACCTCTGAATTTGCGGGTGATGTAGCTATCTAGAAGAGTTCATAAACACTATCAATCGCGGCCACAAATCTACAACCATCTCTAAGTGCTATCGCCGAATCTGCTCAAAGAAACGAATTAAAATTAATATACCAAAAACACAAATTCTAGTACTTGCACAGTTAAAGAGACTACTCAATATCATCCCCAAATTATATCTCAATGGAACACTCCTCCAGAGAGCTACACATCAGCAAAATTTCTTGGTCTAACGTACGATACTAAATTAACATGGCAAAACCGTGTAAATGACATTTCTAACAAAATCTGGTGATGATTAAATCAAGTTAGAAGTCTGTCGGGAAACAATACAACACCAAGCAACATATTTAAAATATATAAACAATACATATGACCAGTAATCGAATACGCCAGTTCTGCGTGGATTAATGTAGCACCCAAGAAAATTAAAACTGAACTACAGAAACAACAAAATGCAATACTCACAAGCGCATATAGAGTTCCACGATCAACATAAATTTACATAAATCCTGATATTACTAACGAAGTGTGATTTCCTTGGAAGGTGGATTCTCGAACAATATATCGTCATCATTGAATTATTGTTATTAGTGTGATAAGTAATCCTAAAATTAGTAGGTAGGGGTTTATTTTATGAAATCATTTAATTAGCCCTGTTGTTAAAGTAAGAGCTCTTAAAGCCCCAGTTAGGGGTTATGGACTTTGGTCAACTGTATGAAATGGGTGTGTGTGTGTGTGTGTGTGTTTGGCCATTAGTGAATTTCTGTGGAGTATAGTGTTGATAAAATTACGAATACATAGTCTTGAATTAATGCTACTGCTATTTCTAAGGAGAGAAGGGTAATTTGGGCGACGGAGATGGTTAAAATTGTAAATAGATTACATATGACTGCTCTATTTCTAAGAAGGGTAAGGAGAAGATGCCCAGCAATTGTGTTTGCAGCTAGACGAACTGACAGTGTAATTGGTCGAATTAGATTTGTAATGGATTCAATGCAGACTATGAATGCTATTAGGGCTGGTGGGGTCCCTTGAGGGACTAGGTGGGCAAATATGTGAGAAGTATTATTTAATCATCCGAATACTATAATGTTATTCAGATTGGTAAGGCTAGTTATAGGGTTATTATAATATGTCTTGTGGATGTAAAAATGTGGGGTAAAAGTCCTAAGGAGCTATTTATGGAGATTAATCAGATAAGAGAAATTAGAAAGAAGGTTATTCCAGGTACAACCACTGTACGACAGACTTCTAAGCAGATCTTTCAGTTACTTTAAGAAAAATCTATACAAAAACGAAATGTTACGTGCATTAGATCGCTAGGTCATATAAGATGGAAATGAGTCCCTTTCATACATTAACATTTATTAATACTATAGGTTTAGTAATCTGCCACCTATTGCTAGACCTGCCTAATATAACATTAATGTGGTTTATAATAGGATATTTTATGTAAATACACATTGTATAAGCTACAAAATGAAAGCGACATTGGAATATATGGACTGTTAATAGCGAGTGTATCCCAGTCAGTGTGAATGATAAACGTTTACACATAAATAGACATGGCTGTGATACGGGTATATTGAATTAATGCTATAAACCTTCGTGAAATCAACGCCCTCGTTTATGTAGCGTTTAACATTCGAACAGTGCACCCATCACACCTGTGTAGAGGGAGGAAGAGGTCAAACTTGCACCTGACCCTTCCAGGTCCATATGAATCTAAATCCCGATGAACGGTTGATCATGGATCCTGACCCTTCCAGATCCCGAAAAGGATCCAGATCTCGACCAAGATCAAGATAAATCCTGGCGATGATGATAGACTGGATATTTGGTTTTCTGACCTAATGCGCATTCTTAGACTTATGTAAACTGGCAATTTTTTGATTTAGAGTAAAATGTATTCTTAAACTGTAAGAAACTGGATATTTGTTAATCTGACGGATTATAATATTGTTAGACTACAAATAAAATTTGTAATTTTATTATATGGCGTAATATGCATTCTTAGACTGTAAGAAAATATCTTTTTTTTTATTATCTGACATAAGAAACCGGTTATTCTTTTATCTGTCTTAATATAATATCGAAACAAAACTAAAAACACATCTACCATGTCATCATAACCTGAATATACTTGTAAGTAAACCAGTTTTCTCATGCTTCCGTCGTCAGTGACGTAAAACTTGTAAACATGAGAAAAATGTTTGTGTATTGAAAATTCACTGCTTATCGTGTTCGTACATCATACTTTCAGGTTGTGTTGAGCGAAGAAACTTGGGTGTTTTGAATTTTGAGTAAGTTTGAAATTATATAGAAGTTTTATTTCGTTCCGTAAATGATTTCTTTTTGTTACGAAATACTCTGGCAGAACGTATACGACTTTTATATATTCGGGTCCGTAAGTTGTTTTGCTTATTTTTCTTTTTTAGTGAAGACAGTTAATAACGGCCTGTTTTATTGGCAGATTGATTTCTATTTTAGTTAGTGTGAATTAGTGCTGTTGTTGGAGAAGTTATTACGCCTGCCTATCTCTGTATATGCCTGCCTGCTTGTCTATCTTTATATAACCGTCTGCCTTCTTGTTTCTCTTTATCTTGCTGCCTGCTCGTCCAACTCTATATCTGCCTCTCTCTCTCTATTTCTGCTTGTCTTTATGTGCCTGTCTGTCTATATCTATCTGCCTGCTTGTTTGTCGACCTGTTTATTTCCGTATCTTCCTGTCCATCTCTCTGTATCTGCCTGACTGCATGTCCGTCTCATTGTCCACCCGTGGAAGTAAGTAATTAAATACATTTCTAATTTGTTTAAATATACAAAACAGACTATGGGCGTTATATAAACATATATAAATTGATCTGAATAAGTTGGTTCTTCTTAAACTTGCCTCCATTCGGTAGCAGGGGTATTGCATTCGGGAATGTATGTGTGTGTGTATCTGTCTGTGATTCCGCGCGCGTATCTCGAAAATTAATAGACCAATGTACACGAATTTGTTATACAAGATGGGAAGTCAATATGGGACAGTCCTCCCCAAAGTTGGTTCGGATCTAATTCCGGTTTCTGGATCACTCTGAAGATTTTTTTTTGGGTTAATAAATCTGTAAAGTGTGATCGGATTTGTACCAAATTTCATGGACACATTAAGGTTGAGACTCTTCATCATACTACAAAAAATGATCCGGATCGTTGATCATTTTGGAACTGAAAAGGATTTTCTGAGTTTTTGAAGGCGAAATTTAATGTTATCAAATATAAACGCATGCAATCTCGAAAAGGAGCTGCGGGGAGAGGGTATGCAATCCTCTCTGATTGCTTTTGTTCCTACATGTTCTACTTTGATTCATGTTACAGTGAAAGCTATTGCCTCCAAAAGCGTGTAATTAGCACTACTTATATTTGTCTCACATATCCGAGTTATCTGAAAGCTTGCGAAATGAATCATATTTTTATGCCTTCTACGCAGTTGGATAATTGTATAATCAGACAGTCTGTATTTCATTCAATCTGTGTTAATTTATCGTACCTTCTACTTGTGTTTGAATATTGAGGCGAGCAGGCCGTTCTTACAGAGTAAAATAAGATAGGATTCAGTTGTTATACATTATCGTAGAAAGACTGATCAATATAACAATTTGAACAAATAACGTTAAGTAAAATTAGCAAATCAATCAAGAGCGAATATTTGAACGAATAGCGTTATCTAGTTATTAGTATACCAATCAAGAGCGAATATTTGAACGAATAGCGTTATCTAGTTATTAGTAAACCAATCAAGAGCGAATATTTGAACGAATAACGTTACCTAGAAAGTAGCAAACCAATCAAGAGCTCAAGAGTGAAAGTTTTAACAATTAACGCTGCCCAGAAACGAGACTAAAACAAACAAGTAAAAAAATTGTGCTGCTTGAGAAGTGAAAAGTGTTGCTTGAAAACTGCATTCATGCAAATCAACGAAGACATAAAATCAACAAATTACGTCACCCGGCAACTGCATCGAAGTTAACCATCAAGTATGAGCGTTTGAGTGCTTAATATCACCTAGCAACGAAATTCAAACAACCTAATAAAGAGTGAGGGCTTAACGTTATCTGGACCATACTGAAGTCTACTTTCAGGATCGTGTTTCCCACCAATATTTTGTATGTAGTACATAACGGACGTTCTGGTGTCGTAAGTGTTAGGTCCTGTATAACTTGCACTTGAACCCAGCTAAGTAATTAAGGCGTTATCATTATTGCATGTTAAAGTTCTTAACCTTTTGAATTAGTATCAGCAAAATTTGTGGTATTTCGTCGAACTGAGGAGGCAAAACAAAACAAAAAGTATCGCTAGGCAACATTTAAAATACTAAGAATGACCCTGACATATTCTCAAGATGGCTTGTCCAAGGGTAAAAGGAATTTGATAAAAACTCGTTCAATGCGGTAAATATACCAGAAGGGGGGAGCCATTACCCTGCTATTGAATATAGCAGAATTTCTGAATTAGTGGACAGTACAGGGTGATTATAAAGAAGAACCCTATGTTTAAAATGGTCTTCTGTCAAAAATATTTGTCCTAAGGGAACAAAGTTTCACCTGTAGCCCATTGAGAATCTCTAGTTTTATTCATGAAAGTTTGAACTTGGTAAAGGGTGTTTTCGAAACCTGTCACAGAAGGTGTTCTGTAAGCTTTCCTTTAATCTCAACCAGCATATCAACGCTAATTCTAAATGAAGCTATTGAAAGCATCATCTGTTCTGGATAGTGTTCATGGATCCTTGCAATATCCTGCCCACTGACACGCATTTTATCTAAATTAACAATCTCGTATTGAAAGAAGAAAAGCAATACTAAATTTTGATAAAAGCGATTTAGGTATACTGTATAAGATATGGTTTTCAAACGTTCTCTGCAATGTACAAACTTTTCTGAATAAAATGTACGATTCTCAATGTGCATCTAGTGAATTTTGTACCATAGAACAAGAATCTTTAAGATATAAGCATTTTAAATATATTTACAAGAGAAATAAAGAATTAGAAATTTAAAAACTGGCAAATAGGGACCATAAAAAATAAGGAAACAAGGCTGGAGATACCGTAGACATTATTAAGTAAAACTACAAAACCCTATTTTAGTTCCATGTTGTTACTTTTTGTATTACATTTGGTGGAGTCAAAATAGGGATTTGTACTTTGAGTAAATAATGTTTACAGTATCTCCAGCCTTGTTTCTTTACTTTTTCTCACGATCCCTATTTGCAGGTTTTTAAATTCTCAAATTTTTATTTATCTTGTTTGCTGGATTTTTTTATGCTTGACTATGGGCAAAGGATTACTTGATATCGTAGCTAGCTAACTGATACGGTTCATGATGATTTACTGTAGCTATTAACTACTTGATCGCATTAGTTCGACATGTAAAATGTTAAGCTGCAGCTGGAGATTGTCATGAAGATTTGTTTGAGAATATAGTGAGCATTTATAGTTCGTATGAACTAAATTCTTTCTATATATATAATGCAAAGCAATGGGCAAATATATGCACAGACTAAGACACAACCCCCATTAAGTGTGTATAAAATTTTACCAGTGGGAAAGCAGCCTTTTCAAATAAAACATATACGTCTAAAATATCGCTTTAAATAAACCTTTGTGTCTTTTAAAGCAATTATTCTACGAATATGTGTAATAAAATTTAATATTATGTGTATTGATTTTTTACTCTTTCACTTTGTACATAATATAGGGGTTGGCTCCCTAAAGACATCGATTGTATAATGTACAAAGCATCGAGTATCTACATGTGACTTTCATCTAATGTTCATTTATTACTGGCTGGTAGTTCCTGTTTCACTTTGTACTTAACTTTTTCAGGGAATACCATATATTTGTAAGAAAGCTAACTTCAAGAGGTAATGATAACTTTGTGTGCACTAGAATTATGATGTTTTTTAGCTAACATAAAATATAGAAGAAACAAATAAACTTTTCAATACCCCTACGATCTTCGCAGTACCTGATTTAGTATTCTACAAAGGAGTGAGTGGAATATACGAAGCCGTTTTTGTTGTAGGGTGGCAAGAGAATAAGAACAATAATGACAATAAGAATTATAAACTGGTCGATATGAGTGAATTTTTTCCTTGTAAGTCTAACATGCGTGCTCTTTTTTTGTGGGGCCTGGCATGGCCAGGAGGTTAGAGCGCTTGACTCGCAATCTCAGGATCGCGGGCTCGATTCCCCGTCCCACCAAACATGCTCACCCTTTCAGCCGTGGAGCGTTATAAAGTGACGGTCAATCCCACTATTCGTTGGTATGAGAGTAGTCCAAGAGTTAGCGGTGGCTAAGTTAGGGACGGCTAGCGCAGATAACTCTCGTGTAGCTTTGCGAGAAATTGAAAACAAACCAAACATTTTGTACATTTCTATATGTGTACAGCCTTAAAAGTCAGTAGTAAAGGTTTTAATGTATTATTTGAACTGAATGTTTACTGTTTAAGGTACGTTTTGCCCGAACGTTCTATTAGGATTTTGTGCAATTCCTTGCAATCTCTATTGTCGTGATTCATGTTATAGTTATACTCACCCTGTAGAATTCAGGCTTTTACTCTGTACCCTTTCTCATGTTGAGATAAAACCTTCCGATTTTGAATTCAACATTTTCATCTTCGTTACGTGTGCAACAAATTCTTGAAACTAACTTGCAAGCTACATATCTGCTGCAGGCTTTACTGTGGTGACTGATTCAGTTCTATTTCCAGGATTTACTGAAAACTGCTATAATCATTTTGAATATACATTTTTACACAAACTACAAACTGAATGAAAATGAAGAAATTTTATGATATTATATGATTGATATTTAGACGGAATTATAGAAATTAAGTTTTATGACCTAATGTCGCTAATTACGGTAGTACTTAATAATAGGAATCGTTATGAAACAAAATGGCGGCTATAAAAATCGGCCGTTGAAAACCACCTTTAAAATGTCTGAATATTAACAATGATTATTTCACAGTATTTGTTGAGCAAAACTTAAGCTCATTGTATTTATAAATCCGTCTAAATCGCTATATACGTGTTTATGGAGTGAATCAAAATTTTGCTATTTCAACGAATTTTCATCTAAGTCAGTAAGTAAGTGACTTTTCCAGACAAACGTACAGAAAAAATTATGAACATTATCGCTCTAATTTCTTTCAGAGAACTCTTCCGCCTGGAGATACTAATGTACATATATATTACATATTATAAATACAAATAGGGATCGATATATATATATATATATATC